ATGTCTCCTCGAATGGTGACGAAACGTTTGCAAATCAATTACCAAGCTCGGCGAACAGATCAACAGCCACCTGATCAATTACCAACTCTATAGGCTATGTCTGTGAGTTTGCTGGTCGAACCCAAGCCATGCATCTCGACTACTCCTCTCTAGGCTTGGGCAACTTGACAATATCTCGGCCCCCGTGCTTATTTCGCTTGGGGGCGAGATGACCCGAGTGGTTAGAGCGCGAATTTAATGACCGGAAGGTCCATGGTTCGAACCCGACCTCTGACTCTCGACTTCCCTGTCTAGGCTTGGGCAACCTGGCAGTACCTCAGCCCTCGTGCTTATTTCAGTTGGCACGGCAGCTAGACAACGGAAGAGTGTTACATCTGAACTGTTAATTAACTAATAAATAAATAGCTAATTAACTATTAATTAATTCACTGGTCTATCGTGATTTAATGGTTGTTGAGGTTCCCGATACGGAACTTTGAGTGACGCGTAGGTTCGACAATCACGAATATCAAAAGGAATAATCGAGTTCGTAATTCTACGGTACTGTTTACACAAGGATAAGCAAATGCGTACAACAAACCTCAAGTGTTCACGCTCATATCGTCAGTAAGTTCACAGGTCTGTCACTGACCAGCACAGTGCAGTGTCAAAGTCCGCACACCAAACAACGGCGAGCGGAATGATGGCTCAGTAGCGTGGGTTGCGGTCGTTCCTTCCGACGACGGTCTCGTGATTCTCATTGGACGTACGATCACGAGGAACTCATGAGAAAACAAGTCAAAGCAGGTTCAGCAAACGGGACACGGCCTCTGCGGCAAGGGAGTGGTGGGTACGAATAAGCAAAACAATTAAACGGGACACTCTGCGGCAAGGGGGTGGTGGGTACGAATAAGCAAAACAATTGTAGATCAAAAGTACATAGGCGGAGTGAGCAAATGCATGGGGGGATTATTATAAGGTCAAGTTAGATTCAACAATGGTTTTTGTGTCGTATCCGGCATCCATTATGTCTGCTTAAACAAGAGAATGTTGCTGACTTCTTCCCGAGCAGCCATACGCGCAGAAAACACTTCCCAACTTGTGGTGCACATGTCAGCCTAGATGCATCCTTGTTGCCGAGTGACCTTTACCTAGCGAATGCCTTTGGGTGCACAAGCCCCTCAAAGTAATCTTTTGGAGTACAGCATTGTATTCCTGCGTTTCATCTTCCACTTACATGCAGTTGGGAGTTTGTTTTGGCTGATTCATTTATCTCATTTTCCTCCCCAGCCATAATTACATACGATTCCATCGAGACTGCCGTTAGTGGTGTGAAACGCTTCGTGCAACTCAACGGCGGTCCGGTTATATGGGTCCCCTCTAGTTCGGCAACCAATTCAAATGACGAACCTTCCATCGCCGGATCGCAGAGCAGCACTCTTCCACGCGGGCTACATGGCCCCGTATCACCTAGTTGATTAGTTGTCATCCGACATTCATCTTCTCTCGACCTTATCTCATTCATGCCTGGTTCGCTTCTTGCCTTTTACCGCAACTTCTTGCCTTGTCTTCGCTAGACTTCACCAGACTGCTGATATTCGTTTTTTGCTACTACTATTACTACTGTTCCCCTTTTTCCTGACTTTACTATCCTTCTTTGTCCCTATTTTACGGTACCGCTTGTGACGCGTTTCAAAACTGTACAGAGTCTATATTTCCTCATTACTGGGAAAAAGCAAAACGAAGTGAAACGTCGGTTCTTTTTAAAATTTATTTAGCTATCTTCCCCCCCGGCCCCACACTGTCTGGATGCTTTAGGCCCACGGAAAATACGCGTAAACTCGTCGTCACTGTTTTATCTAATCATTTTCACACGGCTTTCAACCACACTTCAGTTTGTACACATTCCCATTTTGCCGTGTCCTATTCCCCCACTGCAACATATCAGTCTGTGCTTGTCACCGACCCACTGTTTACCCTCCGGTCTCATTTTCTTCATTTAGTTTCTCTTTTTTTTTGCTGGCTTACTGTTTGTGAACATATGCACACACACGCACACATTGAACACGTTTTCGCGTTATTCAACATCGTGTCCGATAAAACCAGACTCAGTTCTTTTCCGCATTCTCATGAGCATATGACAGAACTTCGACTAATGCTGTTAGCTTTGTAACGCTCTGTTCTTGGTCACCTTGTATCTATCGAAAATGTTGTCTGTCTTTTTGTTGCATCCCTGGATTTGTGGAGTGTGAATCTGGTGCGACGTCACGTCAGCCCCGAATTTGTTAGCGTGCGAAGACTCGGTAATGAAAAGTAGGTCTCGACTAGCGAAACTAATTTGGCTTTTCGAGAGACTCACCTAAAACCCAGCTGAATCTCTCGTTTGTGGTGTTTTCAGGCAACTGAATGTGCTGCACCAGGCCGCCTCATGTTTCAGTCGGTACGATATTCGAGATGTCGCGATACATGTATATTAGACGTAATACACTACTCATAAGGTTGCTGAAAATTTGTCGACAACCCACGACCGGTTTCGCCCTTCCTGGGGGCTCATCAGGTAGTTGCAGTCCCCGAGTTTCCGTCAACCTTATGTTCTACTTGAAATCAAATTGCACGAAATTAGCGGAATACACTCATTTGCAAACTAATTTGGTTTCTCGAGGGACTCACCTCGAACCCAGCTGAGTCTCTCGTTTGTGATGTTTTCAGGCAACCTGATGAGCCCCAAGAATGGCGATACCGGTCGTAGGCTGTCAACGAATTTTCAGCAACCTTATGAGTAGGACTTAACTGTTTGGATGGACCAAACGAAATCTAGAAATGGATAGTGAAGATCACCGAGGGCCGCCTGTAATCAGTTGGTTTGCACTCTTAGTCTTGGTCTCTTAGTTACAAGTGCACTTCAGGGCACTTAAGGCAACGGCCTTCATTTCACGTACACAAAGATGTGGTGGGTCCTCGCGCTTGACCGCAATGTGCTCACCAAAGTGTACACAAAATCACATCCTTCGGAAGCGCAGATATGAACGATTTACGATGAGGTACGGGGGAAAAGCGGTCGAAGTGGGATAGCTCAGATGGTTTAGCGTGCTGCTCTCATAAACGCAAGAAACAGGGGGTATTTTGTGACTGAGGCTGTTAGTTCGAGACCTTTCTGGGGCTGGCTCATCCCTACTGAGCAGGTAATCATCTATAAGTAACCGGAAGAAGAAGTTATCACAGTGGCTCTGTGCGACATTTGGTGGTGGGGTGGGGGAGAGAATGTTGAACATAGATTTGGGCGTAACGACAACACTGGGTTGTTAGGTCCTAGCGGTTGTTTTTCGATAGCTGCTGTGATTTTGCTTCAATATGCGACTGTGCCTGCCCCACCATAACCTGTTTATTATACCGCAGTACTTATAAGCCAGTCTCAAAACTCATTGAGCAGTGGTTATCTCTTTTACACGAGCATTAAATTGGTATATCCACCTACGGGGCAGAGACGTTTGAAAATAATGAGTGGAAAACAGTCCAATTTGGGTTCAAGTAGAACATAAGGTTGACGGTAACTCGGGGACTGCGCCTACGTGATGAGCCCCAAGAAGGGCGAAACCGGTCGTGGGCTGTCCAAGAGTCTTCAGCAGCCTTGTGCGTAGTCTCCTTTATGAAAATAACGAGTGGCCCTTATGGCTCGGTGGTGTGTGGTTCTCTTCTGCACTTCTGGCCCCTCGATTGCGTACTTACACAGTGAGAACTGCTGCTTCCACGCCAACTCAACGATAACAGTGGCTAATCGCTACCGCGCAACCGACAAACCGCCCTGCAATGTCAACCAACTCCGCTAGCAGAGTTGGTTGTCTTGTCCAACACATGTTGATGGGTTTACCCACCACAATCGTGTTCTTAAAAGTGCAGTGGCCTAACAGATCCACGTTCCCCAGAATCTTCCCGCATGCATGAAGTGAACACTAATCGGTATAGGTCATCTGTTCCACTAGTTCTCCAGTAATAAATAGAGTCAACAAGAGAAAGTCAATCGGAGGTGCTTGTCCTTATTTATTTTTTGGAGCGAATTGGGGAACGCCTGTGGTCCAGCCTAGTTAGACAAAACAAAACGTTAGAAGCAAGCAAACACGGACCGCAGGATGCCTTCGCTTGGTTAGTTTTAATTTCTGTGACAGATTGTTCTTCCTGGTTGGCTCTACGCAACTCATCTAATCAGAGGGTACTCCGAGGCCTGTCTATGATTCAAATTCCGTCGTTTTGAAATCTTCCGGTAGATATGCTTAAAATGAACTAGCTATAAATATGAAGGAAACTACCTTCATCAAGGCAGTCACGTGGTACTGATTGGGACGACTGTTTGGTCGAAAAGGTGTCTTCGATGATGTCCAGCTCGGGTTTCCGATCAAACAAAATACTTTGTTTCACATCTGTTAGCCCCGTAAGCCGAGGGGTTAGTCTTGCCGAGAATTGTATTGTGTGGAAGCTTTACTCCAAAGTGATCTCCCGAACTGATTCACTGGATCCATCCAAATAAACTCCCTGCGCTCAATTCTTCTGAACAAACGATGTCGTAGTTCTCAGAACAAAATGGCCTATGCACAGAAAAGGCACCTCTTTGGTGGCTCCTACCTTGGCAGGTAGTCTGGTTCCAGTGAGCCATTTCGATCTCCTTGGAATCGCACTACTTCGGTGGAAGCACTGCAGTTGGTTCCTGTGATTGCCGCCGCACCTATGTGAATTCACAATGTATCAGACTCTGATACCGTCCAACTACACAGATTGCCGGTGGTTTAAACCGTGAGTTTGTTACGTCGTGAAACGAGAAATTCAAGGCCTGCTTGCCAAACAGGCATACGTGGCTGATTCATTCTGTTTGACAGGCATCGTGTCACGTTTGTGGTACAAAGTTGCAACTGCTAAACCACGTTACCGTTCCTACGGGACAGCGTAGTGTTACTTTTACTGGTACCGACCACTTTCGCCCGATAGGTATATAGTCTAAGCCAGATGTAACGGAGTCGTATTGCTTCCCTGCTTCCTCGAGAGGCTAATGGGCTGCTTGGGGAATCTGGAGATACCTGGGCAAGTGCTCTTCGATGTGTGGTTCTTCGGGAGAGGGACGAGATGAATTTGTGTCACTCGCGAGGAGTCGCCTTGCACCGGCAGATCAAAACCCGGTCTAAGCGGTTTCGAATTTCCCCAATCCACCAACAGTAGGATTCAGGCGCCGACACTGCCTTTTAACTGACCTTCAGCATTGATCTATTGTGCTAATCGGAAGATATCTGGATGTGATTAGTTCTTGGCCAAACAGGTAACCTACTCACTTGGTCTAACGAAGGTTTTGTGTCAAAATGGAAACTTAGCCCAAGTACGAAAACTACTGAACGAAACTGAAATAAGAACCATTAAGAGGTGCGTCATTGGTATCTAAGCAGAAACCATCGTGTTAGCTTTCTTAAAGTTCTTGGCCAGGTAACCTACTGACTTGGTCTAACGAAGGTTTTGTGTCAAAATGGAAACTTAGCCCAAGTACGAAAACTACTGAACGAAACTGAAATAAGAACCATTAAGAGGTGCGTCATTGGTATCTAAGCAGAAACCATCGTGTTAGCTTTCTTAATATCATGGTGATTGCGGGCTTCAAATACTCAGGTGGATCACCTGAAGGTGACTAACCGATATTCCGAAACATTCGGGCGGTGAGAACACCCTAGCGTTACGAGCAGCACAAACATGAAAAAAAATTGTATTAAAAAAGCGATTACAATGCACCGTAAAACATTTGAGCAAAGTACTGGTCGATCTTGGTATAGTGGCGAGATTCGAGAATTATGATGGAGATTTCGTCCTGCAATTGAAGCCAATCTCTGGTGAAATTGTTTCGTCTTTGTTGCGAAGCATGAACAATGCTCACCTCCTGAAATTTCAGATTTTCGAACCCGCTCCCGCCGCCGTCCGCTTATGTAGTTTGAACTGAACCGTTCGGCCACGAGCGGCTGATCAGTAGTGTGATTAGACAATATAGCCTAGAGCAAGAATGAAGTTCACCCGATGAGTGGAACTTCCACTTTGTTTCTCGAGGAACCAGTCAACACGTGGGACTGAAACTCGACTGGCGGTATATTCTTTCTGAGTGTGAGCTATTCATACTGGCTATTTGTCACTTGTGGCCCCAAAGGTTAAGAATTCAGAGTACTAGCGCGGAGGTTGCGGGCTCAAAACTTCCGAGAGTTTCGTGAGTTACATATCGTGTTCATGATTCCCAAGAATGATGAAACAGCTATACACTGCTTCTTGACCGAGCAGCATAGGTTAGTTTCACTTAGAGGGCCAAATCCTCACTAAACTTTATAATCTGAGCAGTCAGGTGAATGGTCCTTGGAATGTTCGCCGAGCTGGGCAGTTTGATTGCAAACGTTTCATCACCAATCGATTTGACGTCATCAGTGCTTTGATAGGGAGCGTAGCAATCGGTCAGTGGTTGTGTGATAGCCGCCATAATGGGGAGAGCAAAGCTGACTACACTGGAGAGGCTGGCGAGAGACTACAAAAGGGCGTTGTGGAACACAAAAAGATGTCTCATTTCCGCATACAGTCCTAAAAGGGTACATATCTAAGGGAAAGCCACAATTTCTCATTTGGTCAAGAAGAAGACCTCACAATGCATGGGAACCTGTGCTGTGCGAAAGGCTACCTAATTAGTATACAACCTACCTGCGTCAATCGACGCGACGGTCTATTAACTTTGGTAAGGACTTACAAGCACCCACAGCTGTCCTCAGCAGATGAATTCAGCTTCAATCTACGAAGATACCTCAACCGATCAGACAGTCTTTCGAAAGTCCTGCGCGCAGCCATTCCGTGTCCTCTGTGATTCAGAGGTCAAAGTGAAACCCCTCAGTCAGCAACCACGAGACAACTTACTTCATGCCATCAATCGCAATAGCCTTACAGATAATTTCCCACTCTCGTCGCGCGATCCGAACTCCGGATGCTGACGATTTTCAAATCCATATTCCGATTTGTGAACCAGCACTGTGGCGCGAAAATTGTTGATTCAAACCATGAACTTCCCATGACACTAATCATGTGACGACTTGCCGTATGACCTTGCATGTTTTGCATCCGTGGCTGAGAGCAGTAAAATAAGTGCTCACATGTCGCTACATATTTGTTTTCGGTGTCTTGACGATATGGCCATAAGTTACACTTTGTTTT